TTCATGGAATAATCTTTTGCTAGTGAGATAGGCATCCACTGGGAGCTTGTTGCAACTCTGCATGGTTTGGGATGGAAAGGACCTTGAAGATCATTCATTCCAACCCACCTACCATGGGCAGGGATTCCAGCTGTTTCTAGTTGGAACTAGATATATGTAGGTTGCACAGCCCATTTAAATATAACTATTAGGTCTTCTATTCATCAGTTTTGAAGACATTAGTTTTGAGAAATTTATCTTTGGAAGGCTGCAAACTAGGCTTGAAGTCTTCCTTCCGAAATTCAAGGGACCTTATCTCTTTTCAATTAATCACACCAGGGAAAACCCCTCCTAAGTAATGTATGTATTTTCATTTCCTGCCCTACATTTCTTCAATCATCTTATCAGTACATTTTTTGTCAGGGCTACGAAGGGAACCTTGCATCTTTGTCAACTGATCTGCTAGAAGAAATATTATGAGGCCACCTATGATTTTGAGGCCACCTATGATTCTGAGGCCACTCTGTAGCAAGAGCCAAGAAAATGACACAGAGGCAAATACTTCTACAAGAATTATTCAGCAAAAGGAAGTGTGTGCATATCGTATTTGAGTGTTCGAAGATGTGATCCTGAAGTGTAATATAGTTGAAGAGTCAGGCATTATAAGGTGGTTATACTGCATGCCAAAAAGCAAAGATTTTTAGTCTCTGATTAAAAAACATGGCACAACAGCAACAACAAAAAAAAAAGAATCGAAAAAACCCAGCTCCTCCTCTAGCAAAACCTCTGCTTATCTGGAGCCCAAAAGGAATCTGCAGATGTATACCCCCTGTGTGAGAACAAAGTCTTCAGTCACTGGAATGCAATGCTATAAAAACAAATACTACAAAGCCTGGTAACAGGGGGATGTCTCACTTGCATATTTTTTTGTGACCATCTTGGTTTGCAGAGAAGGGGGTCCCCAAAGCATGTGAGCCAGCAGGATCTCTTTGTACTAGGTCGCTGTCTGTTTGGCCAGATGTCTTCCCAACAGTGAGACAGAAAAAACAGAGCTCTTATTAAAATAAGTCAGGGAAAGGAATGGAAAAAAGCATGTGTCCAGCGAAACGAGGCACATTGTGTCCCATCTGATATTTATTAAACATTGATCAAATCTGCAGTGAGCAATGCACATCATGCGGAAGTGACCCTGGTTCCCTGGGTTTGGAAGTCAGTGACAAATGTCTGTGAGCAGACCAGCATTGAAAACATGTGTACAGGACACACAGAGAAGTGTGCAGCACTAGAGCAACATTAACAAGTGGAGAAGAGCTGAGTTCATCTGAAAATCCCTTTTTTGTAGGGGATAGAATACATTTTATGTATGTTCTATTGATGGATTGGGCATGTAGGGTCTTTCCCTGTACATTTACTCTACAGGTTTCTAGATGAGAGGTTACACATCTCTTCATTTTATGTAAGCCATGAAAACAGGCACGAAAGCGGGTAAAATTGGGGAAGTTTTGTCAAATTAAAGCCCAAGCATGGGCTCCTTGGAGTCTCGACTCCAATGTGATAAACCTGTATGTGATTTTATGCCAACCTGTTGGGTTTAATAACAATGGGCATTTGAATCATCTCCTGTCTGTTGTTCCTTAGTGTTTTGCTTATCACATCTTTTCAGAGCAACCCTTCAATAAAACCCTTCAATAAAAATAAGTGTCCTCACAGCACAGACTAAATCTGCCCTCCTTTATTAGAACAGTCTTATTTGGGCTTGGTCCTTAAACAGGGTAGTGGAGAAGAGCAACAGGGCAATTTGAAGCCAGGCTCAGTGCTTGGGGATGTTGTGGAGCCCTGATTACACTGTAATTAGTCCGTATACAGACAGGGTTGCATTCCTGGCTTTTATCATTGCTTATAACCTGGATTATTTAACTGCACAGAAAGACATCAGAATGAGTCTCCCAAATCTTTCCTTCAAGGTACCTCTGTCTTTAGTAATTTTTATATATTTAGTTGACTAGAAAGTCATCTGTTAACTAGCAGCAGAGTGAAGAACTATGTATTTGCAATAAAGAGTAAATTTAAAACCTCTGGAAGACTTTACTGTGTCCATCTGTAGGTGAAGGAAAACAAAGGAGTGTGTGAGAGCTCCTGGCGTTCTACTCCAGCCCTGGACCTGGGACATGTTAGATGAGGGTAGCAGGGGCTCAGTGTCAGTCAAATGAAGTTTTAAGCTGACATCCAGAAAGCGCCAGCAGGCAATGCAATACACACTTCCAGCCCAGCTTAATGGAATTGCTCTAGCCTGTACGATCGCTTTAATACACTGTGTTTATGTTATCGATACCAACAGCACTGGACTGTTAAAGGATGGAAGGGTCTGGCTTTTGTTGGGGTGGTATTCTGATGTCAAATTGAAATATGCTGAAAGTAAAAGTTCTGAAAAGCCAAAGTGCTGTTTTATTGAACCAGTGATGGAGAGGACTGAGACAAGTGAAACAAGATCCTTAAGAAGCACTGGAACATACATGATGCTAGATGCTGAACTGTGATACATCCAGTGACATCAGCGAAGTTTCAGCTCATTACACTACACAGAAAGCCAGAGTACAGTGACAGAAAGCAGGTCGTGTCATAAAATGAGTAATCTTAATGCAAGACAGTAATCAAGTGAAACTTTTCTATGTGTAGTTGCTGTCAAAGGTTCTGTTTCTATTTCTGCCTTTCTCTGTGCTTTGTACCTCTGCAGTCTATCAGTCTTCTCAGTTATGGATCGGTCCTGCTTCCATCAACATTAAAATAGGGAGGATCAAGCTTTCTGTTATCTGTGTGTTTAGAAGGTAAATGTGATGTGCTTTTTGCGCAAGCTTCTCCTGGCTTTTGGTATGTGATATGTTCAAAGACTTACAGGATTTGAATCTGAATTTTAAATCCATTGGAGGAAGAACCTTCCATTCAGCACACAGGGGTTCAATGAACCCATTAGTACCGGCTAAAAGCAGTGAAATGGTGCTCTAGACACCACGAGTTCCCCCTATGAAATTTCAGTCTCTGAATACCTACTGCAAACCTTTAGAAAACTGTACTTTCCATTTCCAGCAGCACTTCCCCACTAGGAAACTCCTTTAGCTTGTCAACCAACCAAAGAAAACCAGCCCACACATCAGGATCCATAAGCAAACTTGGCTATTGAATTATGGACACATCCCCTTTTCTTTTGTAGTTCAGGAGTTACCAGCCTTCCAAATCTAAGTCACCAATAAATGGGCTATGCAACTGCCTGTTTCTGTCAGCCCCCTTCCTTCCAACCTACACAGGCAGGAGAGAAGCCTTTAGCCTCTGGAGTTTCTGTTCTTGGGAGGTTTATGCTTACAAGTCTTTGTCTCATTTTCCCCTTATGTTCTTCTTCCTGAAAAAAACCCAACAACCCAGATGTTCCCAAATTATTTTATGCCTAAACCCCAAGGAACCCAAATCTATGACATGTCTTTCATCACATGCCAACAGAACATGATGTCACCGATTAAATGTTTAGAAAAAACATGTGATGTCATAATGTGGAGGATGGGCTGACCTGTGACAGACGCATTTCTGTCTCAGGCACAGCTAGTGTACATGTAGCGGGAACTGAGGAAAGTGCCTTGTCAAATAAACTTCGCATAAACTCTCTCACTGAGTTGCCCCAGCACAGTAATCCCTCCTTCAAGTACCCTGAGCTTAAAGAAGTCGCTGGAAAACTCTGTTCTTTGAGGCAGAAATGCAGTTAACTTAACTTGATATGTTGGTCACCCGTCCTCTGTGAACCCAGGGGAAGTGGCCTCTGCTTTTCTCTTAAAATTGAAAAATAAAAAACCGCTCTGCAGAAGGTCTTGAGTTGGGAAAAGTAAAATCAGCTGTGGGTTAGGCCTCAGGGGAAATATAAGTTACTCATAAAAACCTACAGAGCAAGTTTTGATTAGTTAAGTAATCTGGTACATAGAATTTATTAGAGCTTAAAGCTTTCCTGTGGGACTCCCCTAATAGTACACAAATAGAGTAAAATATCAAAGAAATGCATTTTCTGACAGACACAGAGAGCTACGTTAATCCTGGCCTGTGTAACACACACTGGATGGAGGGGTAAATCCCACCCGTTTGTTCCAGCATAATGGTCCAGTTTTCATGTTTTTACACATTTGTGTTTCTGATGAATTTCTTGGTAACTTAATGCTTCCAACAGTCTCGAGCTGTTCCCAAGGAACACATAGACAAAAGAGGAATACTGGTTCCCTAATAGACTCAAAGATATCAAACTGTTCTGCAAAAAGCTCAAATACAGAATAATAAAGGCCCGTTTTCTCTCATAAGCTTGAGGCCCTTTTTCTTACACTTTACCACAAGGGGAAATTCACCAGCATTTTTCTGCTGGTATAAGCGGACCACTAGCTTTACCAGGATAGCACCCTTCCTTTTCTGTGGAAATAGGATATCCTCCAAACCCCCCAAAAGAAGGAAAAAAGTTTCTCTCATTATGGAAAGAAAGTGTTCACATGGTAACTGTTTGTGGTAATGGCTGCAAAGCAGGAATGGTACTCCTACCAGAGTTTCACAATGCTGTTTTATTTCTGTGTTTTCCTTCCACCAGAGTATTTACCATCTCCTATTGCCCCAGTGGGGAGACTGAATGATAAGAAAGAGCTGCTGAGATGTGGTACCTGACAGAGGAGACAGTAATGAACAGTTGGCTTCCAAAGTTCACCATGGTCTTATTACCACAGTTGGAAAATAGTCCTGTTTCTCAGGAAAGCCACAGGTTTTCCACTACAGCAGAACTGACTTCTCTTCCACATGCTAATATCCTAAAGTGACTGTATCACTAAGCTGATGCTTTAACCGCCATGGAGGTTCTCCTGGCTGATTAGGGAAACAGGCCCCTGTATATCATCTGCTTACATAAAGAACTTGTTCTTTGGAAAATGGAGGAAAGGAAATGGGGAGATAAAACTAGCAATGTGTTCTTTGGGTTGTTTTAAAATTCTTTAAATCTTATTTTGCAGGTATTCAGGAGGGGACTCAATGTACCAAATGCAAAAATAACTGGGCACTGAAGTTTTCCATCATCTTATTATATGTTTTATGTGCCCTGTTAACAATCACAGTAGCCATTCTGGGATACAAAGGTATGTATGCATTGAATCCTACATTTCACTTTCAGCCAAGCATGTTTCCCACGTATGTAGACAGACAATTTATCACATTAAATATCAATACCTTGGCAACGTTGGCTTTTGTACACACATAACAACAAACTGCAACCTTAGAGTTTCAAACAGCTGTGGAGTTTTGAAACTAGATTGGACATTTGAAAGAAAGATGTTAGAACAAAGTGATCATTCTTCTACCATGAAGGAGTACTAACTGGAAGCCTTCAAGCTCTGTAACATATACCTTGATTTCACTGAGCTGTTTTACTATACCTCACCTTTCCAGAATAAATATCCTTAATGAGAGAGCCAGAAATAGTCTTACTAATACAATATTTATCACAGTAACAAAGTGTAGAATCAATATTACTTTGAAATATCTGGCAGAAAGATTGAACCAGGAGGTGTCGATGTATTATCTACAATTATTTTGATGAACAAAAGATGCTTAGATGCTTTCGACAGTAATTTCAAAGATCCTGGTAGTTAGGCAACCCAGTAATGGAGAAAATGTCATTTGTGCAAGTCATTGCTAGGGTGTATTAGAAAGCAGAACTTAAAATTCCCATATGTCCTCAGCAGTAATTAACTGTTGCCACTTAGGCATTCCTATTAATGTTTTGATGTAAATGTCTGGTTTTGGAGTAGTCACAGCTATATTAAGTTAAATAAATAAGATATGAGTTTCTGGTAAGAAAAACAAAGTGAATAGCATCATTGTGAGTATTATGACAGGGCATTGCAGTATGTTGCATACAAAACAAAGCTAGCTTTAAACAAGCTACTTGAGTATAGCTCTGAGAGTAGCTTCAAAACCTCTCCAAGAAGCTGGGTAAATATTCATGGGATTAGCATGCAGTGCATCCTGTGCCGCCAGCAGCTGCGCTCATAGCAGAGCTGACATCACCTCTGGTCCTTTGCCAGTGAAAGAAAAGGAAATTGTGGAAATAGAAAGGGATAAATAATTATTTAAGAGGATTTGGTACAGTTTTGAGTGGGAAGAAAATTAAAACTTTTTGGTTTATATGGAAGATTCATCCAGGGAGATGAGAGAATGTGAAGGACAGATAGAGACATATAGGTATTCCTTTTTAATGTTAAAGCAGATGGAATGTGTCAAAATTGAATGCAAATAAATACAGTACATATATAATTGGTCACATATTCTCTTGAAGAATGTGTAACTGGTCTCTGAAAGTCAAATTCTGAGGAAAAAAAAGGGTGCCCAGATTGAAAAACTTGTTCTTCATCTCTAGAGGTAAGATCATTTGGTTATATGGAAATGGGGAGGACAAACTTAGAACTTTTGCAGATACAAATCTGCAGAGATCTGCTTACAGCAGATGAGGTTGGAATCCTTCTAGGCTGTAACCCAGCCAGTAAACACCTGGGATGTAACAGAACTTTTCCTAAGAGAGTTTTATACAAGGCTGTCAGTTCTGGGGCTCACCAGAATACTCTGATCTCACTCAGCATCAGAAACAGCTTATCAAGTTGGAGGGAACATTGCTGTATAGCTTGCTTTGGCAAGCATTTGTTCTTGTGTGGGAAGCTATAGCAGTAAGGAAACTGTCCAGAAGATCTCTCCGGGAGAGGGAGTTTCTCTTTCAATCCACAGTCCTCAAGATTCTTTCTCCATGGGGGCCTGTAGCACTATCTTTTCCCTAGTCTTTGCTCTGGAGTACCCACCTTTGCTACACTCATTTTTAAAACTCTTTCTTGTACTGAGTAGTCATTGGTGCCTGACTAGAGACTAGTCCTTCTGTCATAGCGGTTCCAAGCCACATCCATCCAGGGCAAGGACAAAAGAATTTCCCACAAAATAATGGAAATAAAAGAAGATTGTAGGAAGGTGGATAATGCACATCTTGCTCATACACCTTAAGACATCTTGGTGACCACAGCTCCACCACTCACCGAATGCTCCACCCGAATGTCAAGGGCAAGAGGCATACTCTGGAGAAAAGTCATGTTTACTCCAAGGTGTTACTTCTATAAAGCCAAGCAGCAAATGGTCATGTTAGGTACAACCCTTTGTACCTGCAGCTGAAGACCTTTGACTCCACAGTGCTTAAGTGCTGATTTGCAGGCAAAATATGAATTAGACAAAACCCCAGCTGACAGTACACATTCAGAGGACTTACTGCAATATTTTTGATCATTGGGAAGGAATTAGACCTTCAAGGAAGAAGAAAACTCAACATTTTATAGAGCTCTTGAACTCTCCACTCTGCACCAGAGTTTGGCTTGTCTTTTTTATTGAAATATTACACTGAAAGAAGGAATTTTGCTGGCATCAGGGATTCTTTCACTCTCTTAGCTGAGTTTCCATTAAATTTGCCTCCCACACTTATGTTTATAAAGCCCAAAACTGCTTTTAAAACTTCCATTTCCTACGTGGTATTTAGATCTCCTTTGTGATTTAAAATGTTAAAACTACTAATCAGTGGATTAAATATGGCAGGCAAAAAAATAACTCAATGGGAGGCAAAGTCAACACAGAACAAGCCTCCAAACTGGTGGTAAAAATTACATAGTAGGTTAGAGAAACCTGAAACCAAAACATGAATTAAACATCAAGGTCACGAAGGAATAACAAGCTAAGTTTACTATTAATCTGCTTTGAGAAGGCATATTAAAATATTGTTCAAAACATCTGTAATTTTTTACGCTTTAAATTAAATGCAAAATACAAAGTTACACTTTTTCTGGCATGAGCCAGTGTCAGCTTGGCCTGTTGAACGTGAATGATCTCCCTGTGACTCACTACAGTGAGGGAAGTTAACTTGCTTTCAGCTTGAATTTGATAGTTCTCATTCTCTAGTCAGTCCTCGTTCTTAAGTTTCTTGACTAATGCCCACCGTGACTTTCATCTACTCATTTTATGTCTCCCAGGCAGAGTTTGCCTGCCATTAGCCAGGGCCAGCACATCCTGGTGAGATGGCACGTTTTGTCCCTGCTTCTGAAATAATGGCTCGTATGCAGACAGTCCTCACTATTCCAGTCAGCAACTACTTGAAATTTTGCCTTCTTTAGGGAGGATCTTTACCACATTTTCCTCAGCCACCTGGTCATAAAGTGAGATGACAATGTAGACAGCTCTGACAAGCTGAGAATATCCAAAAGCAAGCTTAAGGCTCTGAGATCAGCAGACTGTTGGGAGCAGCATAGTGGCCTTCATAAGGGATATTGGGCTGGTCTGCATGTTTCACCTTTGCCTTTTTCTGTAGGAGATGGAAAGTGGCTGTTCAAGCCGGGGGCACTCCTGAGAACTTGACTTCCACTGCTGAGAGTGCTTCACATGCTCACCTGCCACTGAAGGTTCCATCCAGAGATGGTGGTGGGAGCTACTGCCAGGGAAGGGAAAGCATTCCAAATAACAGGGCATCTGTCCATATGATCTCTTTTGGCAGCAAGAGCAACAACCTACTCTGGCCACAACTCTCTACTTGTTCTCCCCAGAGTTCATACTTTACTCTTGCAGGGCTCTAGCAAGAAAGAAGCTACAATTCACTTGGGGAAGGCGTATGTGTACAAAATCAAGTCCTCCAGGCACACCATTTATTTGACCATGGAGGCTAACATCCTGCCCCTGCAAAAAGTAAATGTATGCATTGGTCTGTGGGATGACAAAATTCGGCTTAGCCTGCATCACCAAGAATCTTTGAACAAACCCTGCAGTTCACGTTTGCAGAGATCTCTATGGGGTTTACTGCTGGAGCTGGATGGCTTGAACTTGATTCTAGCCTCTCTTCTCTACACTTCACATGACAGGACTGACTTGTCCTCTTGGGGGAAACAGAATTAACATAAAGGAAATGATTTGCCTGATATAGCTAATTCTGCACTTTGATCAGTTAATCTGGATAAGTCATCGCTTGTTCAGTGTCAAATACAAATCAATACCTTCTGTATTTGAAAGCAGCCTCTAAACCAGCATCGTCTAGATAAATGTTGTGTCAGCACTTCAGCCCAGGGCTGCTGTCTGGCATCCAGTTAAAAGTGAGAATTAAAAGCTATGACCTTCTGCAGGAGACAAGCTGCTGGGGACCGAAAGACCTTTTAATGGCCTTCATTAGTGACCTTTCATACACGGCCCAGGCACTGTCTTCTCCACATATCATGGCCAGTTGTCAATAATACCAGTAAGGCTTCTGATTGAAGTCCCACTTCAACAAATTTTTGGGGTGTTCCACACAAAGAATATCCATAGCCACAGGCCAGCTTCAGTCTTTGTAGTGTGGAGTCGTGGTTTTGTATATTTTTTTTACTTTCATCACTGAAAAACACCATATGCTTTTGTATCTTTAATTCCATCCTATCTCAACTAACTGCTAATACAGGCTACCACATATTGATAGGATTGCTTTGGACTCTTCGGGGGAATATTTTAACCCAAGTTTCTAGTGTCAGAATTCATTCAACCATGAAAACATTCTTGTTGTCATAGGACAGTATAAAATCTCAGTTTTACAAACTTAAGATCTGACATACAAACTGTCATTTATTTGTACAGGAAAAGGAAGGAGCTACATTTTCCTTTCATTATTGATAATGTATATATTAATTTTCCAATTCCAAGTGTTTTGCATGACTGCAGAAAACAGGTGAATATTACACTAAATCTTGATTAACAAGACCCATAGGTAATGTGACATTGCTAGTCAAGGCACAGGTCCAGCAGAAACACTTGGAGTAGGCCAGGCAGAAGTTATTGAGCAATGATTCCCCTGAAAAAGCAAATCCATTATTATAGCCTGGAACTCTTTAGCAATCTGCTGTCATCTCAGATACAGAAAGCCAAACTCTGACTGTATCTTTGCACACAGAGTGAAGTCTCTGTTTTACTGGCTTGTTAGCAATACAGAAGGGAGCAGACAGGTAATCCACCAAGGGTGTCTGGTCTCTCTGAAAACCTTGAGACTTTTTCTCTGTTGTAACACTATTTACTTCAATTCAGTTGCACCAGTGAAAATCTCAGTCTGCATTTTCTCTTGTTGGTTTGGGGGAAGCAGTAAAGACCTCATGTGTAACTGTAGTACCCACAGTCAGAAAAACAAGGACAAAGGTTAATACAGAAGGAGCGGCTGGTGGACTGCACTTTAAAGGTCTAGGATTCCTGTGGTGGCTCATGAGCAGCAGATTGCCTAAATTTCCACTTCTAGTAAAAACCCAAATCTTTACATAGCAACAACTTCCATGAAGCTGTTTCTTAGCTGATTATCTCACAGAAGTTACCCCCTAACCCATACCAGCTTACAGAATTGGCTTCACTATCTCAAGACATGGGAAGCACCTTATTTCTTCTGATGGAAAGGAGGGAGCTGTAGCCTCTCCCATGGTTGGTTCAGATCCATTCTGCTCCCAGTGTAGAAAAAAGGTTAAATAATCTCATGATTAGAAGCAATTTATGCCCCTGGTTGTGGCTTGAATGAAAAGCCAATGAGATAAGGTTTGCTGTGGAAGCTGGAGGCTGCCTCTGACCTTGAAAGCATTTCCCATTTTTGCCCCCGGAAGTTACCCTTAGTTCTTTATTTGTTGCTCTGCTTTTTCCATTTCAATATCAATCCCATCAAATAATCAGATTGCCTCAGTGACAAGAAAACGACTCAGACATGACAAAATAAGGAGCACATGAGCTAAAAATCTGCACTTGATGAGTGACTGTCCCTTCAATCTTAATGAGGAAGGCTGGTTTCAAGACCATTTTGAGTGATATCTGTACCATTGTCAAGATGTTTAACAGTTTGTCTCCAAAATATCTGGTACTTGCACCTTCAAACTTCAATCTCAGTCCAAAGTTTGCTATCCAGGTGGTATTTTTTAATTATTAAAAGGCACTGGAGGAAAAAAAAAATCCTTTTAAAGGAAAAATGGCTCATAGCAAACTAAAAGGAAGCCTTGGCTCATGAGTCTGAGCCTTTAGGAATCAGTCGGCCTTTGCCACATGGCACTGTGCTTGAAGCATGGAAATACTGTTAAAAGGATTTGGTTCATGAGGAAAACCCACAAAGAAGGATTTCCTCATTCAGGAGAGATATGGCTCATGAGCAAAGAAATGTTTGGGAACTGTAAGTAAACTGAAGAACTGGAAGAATGGTGGGTCCCACCAACAGATAGGAGCTCATCCTTCCAACGTTTTAAAGAGCCACAGAAGAGTGTAGTGGTAAGCAAAGCAATTTTAAGGTGGTTTCTTTTTTTGTTTGATGTTAGGGGTGTTTTTTTATTTCATTTATTGTTTACTAGACTTTTAAAATAATTTTACTTTTATTCTTTCCGTAACATACTGTTCTCTTTCCTCTAGTTGTAGAAAAAATGGACAATGTGACAGGTGGCCTGGAAACATCCCACAGAAGATACACAGAAAAGCTCACAGAAGTGGAGAGTGGGCTGAAGAAATTAGGTAATACACACACACACAAGCAAAGCCCCTTTGTATTATGGCTTTAAGGTGTTCTCCTGGAAGGTAGCAGCAGGAAATTTGCCTGAAAAATCTGTGGCTCTGACAAGATACAGCACTTCTATTCTAATGTCTCAAGTACTTGGGATAGCACTTCAAAGTAGTTAAGAACAGCTCTCCTCAGGACAGCATTTTAAGCCTACTTCAGTATTTACAGTTCCCGCTGAAATCACTGTGAAATCATTTATACTAAAATAAACAGATACTTAAAGGTTGTCCTCAGCAGAGAGTCTTCTCTGAGGTAGAGATGTAAAACACAGCAGAAGCTGTTCCACAGCACAACAGATTCTACATAAATTAGAAATCAGTGTCACCCAGTCATCCTGATGCTGTTTTAGCAATTGGGATTCAAACCTGAAGGCCATTTTAAAGGGTGCACAAGCAGTGAGGTGTTCAAAATTCTGATGTGTGAGGCAAGTTGATTACTTCCATAAAATATTTCTTAATCAACTCAGGGACCACAGGACACAAGTTTGTTATGAGTTTGTTATGAGTTCAGCTCTCCCAAGTGCTATTGCAGTTCTCAATTTGCAGGAAGATGGAAAAAATCATTGTACTCACTAAGTGTACATTTCTACATTTCTTCCCTGTCTGGAAAGGAAGCATAGCTGCTTGTTATCAATTTATATATGCACAGACATATAGTTTATATAATGAGTTTTAGTGTAAAAATAAATAATTGGTTCTGATATAAATATAAATATATTTAATATGAATATTATTAATATATGCATAACGCATGTGCAATTTATTTGAAGACTGAAATAAATTTTGTTTAGCTTCATAAACCACATGTTGAGATGTGTCTTTCTAGGAAAAATTACTTGCTTGAAGCTTGATCGTAAATTTTTACAACTTTTTCCCCTCAAAAAAATAGCTGGATTCTGAGCTATTTGCACAGTGCATTTAGTTCAAAGACATGGAGTAATTCAGTTGCATGTGCTTTTACTGATAAATATACAGAAGTAAATGTTACACCTTCAAGCACATGCAACCTTTGGGTTATATTTGGGTTATTATGTTATGCTGATTAAATTTTCACAACTTGGAGTGCCTTTGATTCATTCATGCCCACACATTTTTACACGCTGCTGGATGGATGGCCAGTGAAATGCTCAGGACCTTCAGCTCCCATTTAAATGGACTTGCCCATGGAGGAAGTTAAAAAAGTCATGGAGCAATGTGTGTGGGAGGCATAAAGGTAAGAGAACTGCTGTAGGGCCAGAAGGATAACAGCATGTGGTGAATAAAAGACAGGCCTTCAGGGATTAGCTGTGTGAACCTGGCAGTTGTCAGAGCTGTGTGAGGAACACAACATAATTTGAGCTATAACAAAGAGGTAAATACAGAGTCAGAGCTGAGAAGATCATGGAATGAGACAAGTGCCGGGGAGAGGAACTGTGCTTGGGAAGATGTCCATCCACAAAAGACTTTGTAAACACTTCAGACTGAAGTCTCACAAGCCACCATTTGATGTTTGCCATCATGACTCGTTCAAACACACCAGAAGAAAGCTCCATACACAGCTGTATTCACTGTAGTTCATGAAAACCAGAGTGCTTTCTCTTGGGAACATATGAAATGATGGACTTCAGAGTGTGTAATTCATAAATATAGCTACACTTAGATGAGGACAATCATATATGAACTGCATGTAGGAGAGAGAAGTGATTGAGGTCAAGAAAGGGAATCTTCCAAGTGAGCATTGAATTGCTTGGTTTCCATGTCCTGGCTGATAAGCTGTGCGGCCGAAGAAGTTTAATCATATTCAGACAAGCTTCCAGAACTATTCTGTAGGGCAGTGTAAGCAAGAGCAGAGATGGTCCTCAAGGTTAAAGGTTTTGCCTTCCTCAAACTCAGAACATGAGGAAACCATAACAAAACAAATGTCATTAAAAGCAATAGTAATATATTAGAGAGAAAAGCAGAAATACATTATATCCTGTCATATCTGGAGTAGCCTGCTGGCAAGGCTTTTGTCTCTAACCCAGATTGTTTTAAAAGTAGTATTAGAACTTTTTTAAAACTAAACCAAAGATTTTTAAAAAAATGGAACTATAGATACTAAATCATGATGAAGATATTCCACCTGCCAGGAAAAAGAAGAATAAAATATGAGCAGCTAAAGTTACGAGCTTTCAGCAAAATCCAACTGTGGCTTCAAAACATATACTTACTGATACCTCTAATATTTTGAATTCTGTTTGCCATTCAGTTTTCATTCAGAATACAGCACTACTTGACTGCATTTACTCATCAGTGGTAGTTTTTCCCATATATGATGCTAGAATCGCTATTTTGTTCTCCTTAAAAAAACACAAGGTCTTCATTGATTGCTCTTTGATTTTAGCTCTGCTAGTGACAGAACTTTGCTTAGTGGTTTCTCTTTTCTGGAAAAATACAGCATTCTGTCTATTGACAAAACATTTTGGCAGCCTGACTGTACTTAAAATACACTGTGCTTTCTTATACTGTGTTTTTAAAAACTCATCCTAAAGCCTTTCCTTTTTTTTTTTTCTCATGTACAACAGATGACCAAGCTGGGCAAAAAGCCATGGACACTAACACTGAACTGTCTAGCTTCAGATCTGACATTCTGGCTCTTCGTCAGCAGCTTCATGATATTGCAGAGAAAACTACCAGAAACAAAGATACACTGGAGAAGCTGCAAGAGTCTGGAAATGTATTAGATGATAGACAGAGTCAAATGAGAAGTGCCTTAGATAGTAACTCTATCATGATCATCAGTGTTAATAAGACTCTTCAGGCATACACTGGCTATATCAACAATCTTCAACAAGACACAAGTAATATCCAAACAAACTTGCAAAACCAAGTGCATTCTCATAATGTGGTCATCATGAACCTGAACAACTTAAACCTGACACAAATGCAGCAAAGAAATCTTATCAGTGTCTTGCAGAAGTCAATGGAAGATACAAGCTTGGCTATTCTAAGAATCAAGAATGACTTTCAAAATCTGCAGCAGGTTGTCCTTCAAGCCCGGAAGGACACCGATGGGCTTAAGGAGAAAGTACAAAATTTGCAGACTTTGGCTGCCAACAACTCGGCATTGGCTAAAGCTAACAATGATACACTTGAAGACATGAACAATCAGCTCAGCTCCTTCAGCGGGCAAATGGAGAACATCACCACAATTGCCCAAGCCAATGAACAAAATCTAAAGGATCTCCAGGAACAACATAAAGAATATGAAAACAGAACTTCTGCCAAATTTAACCAGCTAGAAGAGAGGTTCCAGGTCTTCGAAACTGATATAGTCAATATCATTAGCAACATCAGCTACACTGCTCATCATCTACGAACACTGACTAGCAATCTCAATGAGGTCAGGACAACTTGTACAGACACCTTAAGTAAACATTCAGATGAGCTGATTTTTATGAACAGCACACTAGCCAATATTCGCTTAGACTCCGCATCTCTCAAGGTGCAACAGGATTTGATGAGGTCAAGGTTAGATGTTGAAGTTGCCAATTTGTCAGTAATCATGGAAGAAATGAAGCTGGTGGATTCCAAACATGGCCAGCTCATCAAGAACTTCACTATCCTACAAGGTATGTAGCTTCCCTAATGATGCCTCTAATAGTCTATGCCAGATTCCTCCTTGCATTACTTGTTTAGTTCTGTGGAAGATAGTGTATGCTGGCACACAGTTCTGGGGTTTTCATTATCTAATCCTAAACCTTGTGAATGTAAATGTTGCTTGAATTTTCCTTATTACTTTTCCTATGCCTTCTTTACATAGCTACAATGGGGATGTTATGAAAGAAGGTTCTGACTTAGCAAAATTTATTCTGACTGACTGACTGGATCTGGTTTTGATTTAGTTTCTAAAATAAGCGAGTGAAGGTGTGGAACCTCAAAAAACCAATGCCTGCTAAGGAGGAAATGGCTAAAAAATATACATTGGAATATTCCCAGCAAGGTCCGCCCTTACTGAAAAACAAGTTGCTATTTCACTTTCAGCCAGTTGTTAGTCTGCCAGAAAACATCCTACTTTGCTTAGTTTTTTAATCCTGGGATATTTTATTTTCTCCAGAAATAAATAGCATCAAGTTTAGGAAGCTTCTCCCAGCCAAGTATTATCCCAAATGAAAAGAACACTCATATTTCCAACCTGATGTGAAGCAGTCAAGCCTAAAAGCCTAATCACAAATATAAATCCATTGCTCCAAATAAACTAAGGCTGAATTAGAGCCAAGATTTCATGTCTGTAACCATAAGCTCTCTGATTTCAGTTTAGGAATTTATCTCTGGAGGATTTAAAAATACGTAGGTCGGCGGGGGGAAGAATAATGGCAAGGCATTTGCTCATCCATGATCAGAATCCCAAATTATTTTGGTTTTTAATGTCACAATGTTGCCATTTCCTAATGTGTGTATCATTCTCTTTCATGTTATAGCTGACCAGTTTGCAACTTGTACTTCTGGTCTTTCCCACAGTTGGCCTATTACTTGCTATTCATCATTTTGTCCCTTTTTGACAACCCATTACTGACAAAGCAGGGAACAAGGTCACTGCAAGAGAAAGAGTCTTACAGTCTAAGAGAGGAGAGGTGGGGCTAGAAGGAAGTAGCAGAGTGAAGGAATGGGAGCATCAACACACAAGACAGAGTGTGCCTTGCAGGGACTGGTGCCTCAGCTGGTCACCTAGGGCACAGTGTCATTGTCCAATTCACAGGACAAGGTGCTTCAGATTATTTTCTTCTGCATCCTGTATTTCATAGAGGCTGAGGAAAGATCAATGTTACATAGCGCCCAAGAAGCAGATGTACAAGCGTTACTCAAAGTAACTGTTAACTCGGTTTTCACAGTTCTGAATATCCAGCGTTGCTGGTCTGAGACACGTTAAATGAGGACCCCTCGTGGGCTTTTTATTCTGTCCATATCCCCACTTTTCATGCTTACATTGTTTCAGGACCTCCTGGTCCAAGGGGACCTAAAGGTGACAGAGGCCCTCAAGGTCCTCTTGGCCCCGCTGGCCTAAAAGGACAAAAAGGAGAGAAAGGAGAGCCTGGACCACCAGGACCTGCAGGTGAGAAGGGCCCACCTGGGCCAACCGGTCCACCAGGAGAAAAAGGAGGAAAAGGTTCTAGAGGATCACCTGGCTCCAAAGGTCAGAGAGGTTCTCCAGGCAAGACCGGTCCGCCTGGACAAAGTGGAGACCCAGGACCACCAGGTCCACAAGGCAAAGATGGTCCACCTGGGCCACAAGGTCCACCAGGATTTCAAGGGCTGCAAGGAACTGTGGGAGAGCCAGGGGTACCAGGACCTCGAGGACTACCTGGGCTACCTGGAGTCCCTGGGATGCCTGGTCCAAAGGGCCCACCTGGGCCACCAGGGCCACCAGGTCCAGGGATGCCAATGGCCCTACAGAGTGAACCTACGTCAGTGCCTGAGGCTAATGGTAAGCTATCAACAAACTGCATGCGTCTTTTACTGAGATACAAATATACATAGTAGAGGGTGCTCACCACTTAGTTTCTAGTTCAAATAACCTCTGCTTCCTTAGACTAAATGTCTGGGATTTATCACAAAGAGCCTTGTTAAGTGAAGACATGTTGCTTCACCTGTTGCTTGTCCTTCTGATGACCTGAAAGTTAATGTTTACAGCTAAAGAAAAAGCAGCAATACTGTGAGTAATAAATAATCCCCTTGACCACACAGCTCAGCCTTGATTGCACACAGTCAGGATCCTAATAACTGAGACTGGATATTAGGAAAAATTACTCACATTGAGGGTAATCAGGCATTGGAACTGGCTTCCCAGGGAAGTGGTGGAATCACCATCCCTGGAAGTGTTCAAAAGCTGTGTAGGTGAGGCCTTTAGTGACATGGTTTAGTGATGGACTTGTCAGGCCTGGGGTAAAGTTTGGACTTTATGAACTTAAAGGTCTTTTCCAACCTAGTTTATTCCGTGGTTCTAAACAAATCCCTAAAGTGCTTCGGGTCTCACCATACTGTAGATGGGTGTGGGATCCTCCACCTACTATTGGCCCTATGCAGAAAGTTACCACCATCCCCTTGAGTTACCAGTAACTAACTTAACACAAAAAATTCATATCACAGGTTGTTCTCCTCATTGGAAGAACTATACTGAAAAGTGCTACTACTTTTCAATTGAAAGAGAAATTTTTGAAGAGGCAAAGTTATTCTGTGAAGAGAGGGCATCACGCTTGGTTATCATAAACAACAAAGAGGAGCAGGTAATCACCTTCTCTTTTTGCTTTCCAAGGAGAGAATTTGATGTTATGTAGCATGTGGAAGCTACAAGGCAAGTGGGAAGCTTATGAATTCATATGGTGAAGCAGACACAGTGATTGACTCCAGTTATCATTTTGTTCACTCTCTGCCTGCTCAGCAGCTTCTACATGAGCAGAAGGGCAGAGTGTTTTGAACCTTTGAAGATGTAGTCCATTATGCCTTGCATATTATCCAGAATGTATTTTTTTGCTGTGGTGAATTTTAAATTGTCTGATTTGATACATGCAGCCTAAAACTGCTGTGACCAAAAAATATTTTTAATCCAACTGTAAGTGTAGCTATACTTTTACAATTGTTCAACATAATTATTTGGTGGCTACATAGGAATGGGGTTGTCAAGATACAACTGCTTACTTTGGGGTTTTTTTTCTTGTTTGTATCTGTAAGACATTGCCTGTGACTTTACATCAACCTATTTTTCATGCCTAGCTCTCTCTACCTCAGATGAAAACACTGTGGTGGATTCTAATGTGGGTGCAGGGTGTCAAGGCTGACTCCTGAAGCGTATCCTCAGCTTAGAAAAATTTTTCTGTCCCTTCCTGTTCTCATAACAAAGATGCTCATGGATCTAGAGCAGCTTATGCAAAGATGGTTGTGTGTGTTTGTCCTGAACCAAGATCTTTCTTCCACAGCAATGGATAAAAAGACAGATTTTTGGAAAAGGCAGCTTCTGGATTGGACTAACAGATTCAGAGAAGGAAAATGAATGGAGATGGCTGGATGGATCCTTACCAGTTTACACGTACGTAAATAAAAAACAATGGTGCTTATTTTCTGCAGATGCTGCCACTCTTGCTGACACTTCTAAAAGCGTCATCTAGAAATTATCCAATGGATCCAGAGGGTTGTGGATGCCAATGAAATAATTTGTTACTGAGGGTACTGCTGAACTGCGTTTTTGCTCCCTCCCTTCTCCATGCACAAGTCTTTCTTTCCCTGCCAGGAAGAAAACTGAATGTTGAATGAAAGTATCACATAACTACGCAGCACAATGTTTCTTGCCAAAACATTTGCTCCTGACTTTTATTACAAAGTTGGGATGGAAAGGACAGACAGTTTTGCTGTCTTGGTTTGAATTTTCCTTATTTGCATTACAACTGGCTATAAATAGAGCACTCATTCTGATAAAAAACGACCAGCCTTTAGATAAAGCCCAAATCCAAATGGAAAGCATTAAACATAAGGAAAATGCACGAAACAAGGGTGTCTATGCTTTGGCCAGCTGAGAGCTGAACTGGCAGCTCTCCAGGAATCCTAGGGCTACACCTAATTTGTCCTAAATGGAACAGATTACAACCACCCAAAGTTTTAATACTGAGGAGTGGACTAAAGAGTTTATAGGGCTGAGCATGCTGTGCTTCAGAAAAACAGGCTACAGTCAGTCACATGTTACGAAATGATTAGCTGTGATCTCATTGGTGTTTATCTTGATGGGAAACATGGAAAAAGTCAGATGCAGTTCCAATGAGCTGTAATATTTTTCCCTTTTTCTCCCTCCCCATTTTCATCTTCCTTTCTCTTTATGGCAGCACTGTGACTGAATCCCACTTAAACTGCTGTTTTCAATAGGTTTCCAGTACACCGTGGTTTTAGGTGCCCTGTCATAACCTCAGAGCTGTCAGTTACTGATTTTCACAGTATTCCATTACTTCTGGAAAGCCCTGTGTCCTCCCAGGTGCCTGGTCAGATGCCCTGTGTCAGGCAGGCATGTTTTTTAGCTGAGCATGGACCATATCAGCCAGCAATCACAAGCTCCCTTCAACAACTTGTTTCTGCAGGAAAATAGAGCTTTTAAGTCCTAAGACTGGAAGTATTTCTCACTTGTTAAACAAAAACAGGATGAGGAAACACTTGCTGTAAGTTTTTCACATGCTGCATTAAGTTTCACCACCAAACCTATTGATATCAAAAGATATATCTATATATCCTTTGCACCTTCCTTGTAAGTACAAAAATAAACTTACCCGTAAAACACATGGATTTTTGCTGTCCCTCCCAAGAGGCAGTCAGAGGGCTGAGCTCCTTTGCAGTGAGTGATGGCAGGGTGCTGCCATCTTGGCAGACTCATGACCCTGCGGACTCTTCTCAGTCCCATCTGCCGGCAGGAACGTGGCATGCAGGCTTTGCAAGCTTGGAGTAATATACATGGAGCGTGGAGCACTCCCACTCTATGTGCATGTACATTCAGAAACTAAAATAAAGTTCATCAGTCTAATTTTAGGTCTGTAAATTTTGGCAGCCTGAGGCCAAATAGATTCCCTTCTTAGTAATACATCTGTTTTTCATTTTCAGTAAGAGTCACGTATTGTTTGTTTCAGTGTGTATTTCCCATTCAGAACGGATCTCATGATGTTTTTGTTAATTTCTTGCTGTGAAACACTGTCATGTGTGCTGTGTTGTGCAATCATATCTCTTGCTTTTTGGTTGAAAGGAACTGGAAAACTGGGCAACCTGATAACTGGAGCCATGGGCACGGGCCAGGGGAAGATTGTGCTGGGTTGATCTATGCTGGGCTCTGGAATGACTTCTACTGTGAAGACGTTAACAATTTCATTTGTGAAAAAGACATGGACAAAGGTAAGCAAGGCAGTTGGTTTGATTACTTCACCAGACCCACAGTAAATTTTCTGCAGCTAGAGAGCAGACGATCCTGGCTAGATGCTATGACAGGGTCTTTTGAGGAAGAAGGGGAAACACATGTGGAGCACTTCTACTCTGATCCTGCCCGGCATGCACTTTTCTAATACCCTGTGCAATGCAGATGCTGGATTTACTGCATTTGGTAAAAGCAGTCTCCAGGCAGTCTCTGGCTGTAGCCATGGCCTGCTGTGCATCTTGACTGTCTCCTGCAGGTATTAAACATGCCTAAAATTTCAGGCATGATTTGGCACATGCTTCAGACCCTGGCCATACTGCAAGCTGTATTTATAGACTCAGTGGCCACACAAGAGGGAAAGCTGGCCTTAGGATGGCTCAGGAACCAGCCTCAAAACCCCAAAAAGACCCTGCTTTGAGAGTTTGTGCAACAGGAGGCACTTGGTGACTGCTAAGGAGATCTTAAAATTCCCACCACTCATCTCAGCCATGGGGCTGAGAGGCCGGGCCCACAGGCTGTAAGTAACTCATCTGTTGCAGCTGGACTGAAGGACTTACAAACTGCCAATGCGGCCCAGCAGTCACGCAGGTGATTGCCACGGGGCATCTCTTTCTGGTACACATGCATTTCTGCAACAGCAGACGGGAAGTAGTTCACATGGCTGCTTAGAGCCTGGCCCCATCATCACAGAGCTAGGTGGTATTTGTGTTCGTGGTGGGGCTCTGCCTAAAACATTATCTCTTCCATACAACCTGTCTAAACATTGCTTTGCCAAGGATGCCCGGCTGCTCCAGTTGAAAGCCTGTAGGTTGAATTTCAGTGAAGGCAAACAGAAATGTCAGCTAGAGCCAAAATTAAATCCCATCCACTGAAATGTTCCCCTAAACGAAACCAAAACAAAGTGCTGAACAAGCTTTGTGTTTGTATAACTCTGTTTCTATGTCCAGAGCAAAGAATCTTGTAATGTAATTTGCTCGTTTTCCTACATACATTTGTTAGTTTAGGAAAACTTCATGGTTTACAAATATTTGCCCTCCAGGACTTAAAGAAGCTGAATATGAGTCCACTTGCACATACCTTGATCTCTGTAAGTTTTCTTTTTTCTTTTTGGAAATGCACTTCAACTACACATGGGGTTTTTTTCTTTGTTTTTCTTTTTTTCCCTTATGCTGCAGGGCAAATATTTGGAGTGTAACAGGCTGTGACTTAACAGATATGTATGTACTATGGAAATTTACTTAAAGAAGAAAATCCTGGGAGAAAGAGCAACATTGCCTACCAAAATTGAAAGGGGAAAAAAACCCAGACAAACAAAAGCAAGAACTCAAAACTGGTTTAAGTGTATAAAGGAATTCAGCAGCAGCTCTTCTCCAGCATCCTGCAATTATTCAAGGCCTTTCAACCCACAGCATCAAGAAATACCGTTGGACTAATTCTGTTACAGATTTTCTTCCCAACCAGTAACCACATACATAAGTGACTTGCGTCTTCTAAGAAAAGACATTCTATCAATCTGAATAAGACTGTTGGTCACTCATATAGAAAAACGTATAAAGCAACTGTGTAAACAGTATGTTTCATTTGCTAAATCCCAAATGTAGGAAAATTATACAGATACACGAATATATAGATTTTATATAAATATATATATATAGTCCAACTCTTATCAATAATATGGAATATACTTTTAAGAGCTTTTAAAACTTTGTATTTTTGTACAAAATATTTGCTTTTTACAATTGTTCTCTTTTTTACTGACTTTTTTTACAAATATAGTGCACAGGGGCCAAAGAAAACAATAAAGGTACTAATAATTCATTAATTTTTTTGCTGGTTTGCTGTCAGGCCTAGCTCAGCTATAGAGAAACATTTTTCCATTTAGAAATGTTTGTACTTTCCCAGATGATTTGTTCTGGTTAAATAACTTTTAAAGCAGATTTTAGGTAGTGTTTTTCATATTATATGCAGTCTAATCTGCATGTGTAACAAGTAAGTTGACTAAGAACTAGATACTCATTATAGCTCTGATCACAGCCAGTGTTCCGTTGGGGTACTATGCAAAGACCATGGTAATAAAAGTTTTTCCATCCCGCCTGCCTACCTGCCTGTCTTCTTTCCTGTCTGCCTGCTTTCCTGCCTGCCAGCCATCTTGCCTTCCTGCCTTCCACCTACCCATGAGAAAATGCCACTGAAGTACATCACCAGCTCTTAAGAATGATTTTGACATGCTTCCATTCCTTCTCCCTTCTCATGAGGAATTGTGCCCCAGTAGGTGCTACCCATATTGCAAGTCAAGCCCAGGTGAAGGATTTGATGAAAACGGAATCAAAGGAGCTGCACACGCTGAAATATGTTTCTTTTTAAGACAGATTCCAAAATGTGGTAAGAAAAAGACGCCATACTCAGAAAAGTCAAATCAACTTCTCCAGAGTGCTTTGTAAATCGATCTCTCTGTTTTCTGGGCCACTACTCTCCCAAACAAAGTAGAAAATAAAATACACTGCAAAACAGAAAGCAGTGTGTCTAATGGCATGTAGCCAGTTTCCTCCATGGTCCCATAAGGTCCCATGCAGCTTATCAGGAATTAAAAAAATATTAGGAACCAGTTCATTAGTAGAAACCCTGGTTTTGGTTCCCAGTTTTTATACTCTTCACATGGCCAAACTCTGCATCACAAAGGAAGTTGTTTTGGCTTCTTGGGAAGGAGAGCTGTTTTTCCATTGCCTCCTGACCTGCCGTTTACCTTGGCTGAATGCAGATTAAGTTTGTTGAAATACTCCAGCTCTGTTGGAAAGAGACAAGATTTTGTACTTCTGATTTTCAAATACTGATCCTAAGACCAACCAATTAAAGACTGTTGCTTTCCTACATCCCATACTCCCTCCAGTGTTCATTTGGCTTATTAAAGAAAATAACATGTTACGTTTGGGGATCTGTCTCATGGTACATATTAGCTATTAGACAGGAACAACATGAAAATTGCATATGTTTAACTAAAAGTGAAAGATCTGTGTATCACAGCTGCAGAAACCATGTGTCACCATCTTTGAGGTAGGACTTTTCTTCAGACAGTCTGGATTTCCTGAGACTTCTCTGTTGGCTTTTTCATCAAGTCTTAGATGCAACACGATTCTGCTATACACACTGTCATGCTGTACCTAGTTGTGTGTAGATACACACTGTAGTGTTTATATATTTATACACAGTGTCTGTGGAGATAATGTTAAACTGCTATTTGGGGAACAAGATACTACTACTTTGCATGGCCAGATAGCTTCACAAATCCTGGTGAGTGCAGCTTTGCAGAGATAACACTGAATTAGAAGCACTTCTACCTTTGTTTGAGTGTTGGCTTACTTAGGTGAAATAAGTCCATTCTGAACATCTGCCATGTTAAATGACCTTCTTCCTGTTTTTTACTGATGGGATAGACTTCTGTTGACAAAAGAAGTTAATGAGAAACCTCTGTGTAAGCCCCAGCTATATTGCTTCTTTGGCCTTTTCATCCTTCTGTTCCTTCAGCAACAGCAGTGATGGTGCATATTAAGATAAGATGGCTCAAGAATCGTCTAGCATCCTCCGGTCCCTCTAAAGAGGTTTTCTGCACAGCAGTGATCAACAGCTATAGCTGTACTTACGGCTGCATAAGGTTACAGAATGGCCGTTGATCAGTGAAAGCTCCTTAATCAGTTGGAAACTAGCACAGCAGCTATGTTAATTTATGGGCAGTTGGGAAGCAACCATTGAACCAGGACAGTTTAAATGTGCAACATGTTTATGAATTAAATATTAATTTCAAAGTGAATTTCAGTGCTGGGTTGTAGCTATCTATAATAACGTTCTAATTACCTTTAATTGAGAAACATGTGCCTCTGCTCAAGCTCTCTGTTCACACATTTGAAGCAAAGAGTGTAGCTGCAGAGCTGGATGGAAAGCAGTGCTATAGTTGAATGTCTGGAGTATCCAGTCATCCTTAGACTCTGGCCTGAGCAGCCAGGTGGGCTGAGACAGATCATCCTTCTGACCCAGTATTCCTGCAGGAGGGAAACAGAGGTGTCAAATGGCAACACAGATTGAAATCATTGGGAGGACTGGGAGAGTGTTAAGACAGCTTCAAGAACCTGCCACAGAAAGGAGAGATTCACAGAGATGCAAACAAGACACCAGAAAGGGGCCTGGGAAACATCCCCATTAAATACACTTTCTGTATGTTCTAAGCAATAATGCAGGTTGTATGGAAAGTTTTAAGTTATAAGAAATTATTTTGTCCCAGCTTGAGTTTTGGCTTTCTTTCTTACGCACAAATGCTGTAACTTGGTATGCTGAGTACACATTTCCATTGTCCTTTTTCTTGTTTTACATCAACATAAATGCAAGTTCACATACCCTGGCAAGCACTGGGACTGTTGGAAGAAGGGGAGGGGAAGGCAGAGAGGGTGCAAAGTCACTGTGTTTTACCTCCAGTGCTGGATTTCTTAATGTAATTTCTGACTTCCTTCATTAATTTATTTGGAAACATCTTCAGCTGATTAGAGCTTATAAATCTCAAACTTTCATCCCATTTGATGTCTATAAATAATATGTGCAAATGTTTCAATAAAGGAAGCAGTAAGCGGAGACATGGAAGTGAATGTTGTTTACTCTGTGCGTGCTTGTGTAACCAGGAGAGATGTGGAGCCACAAGCATTTATTTGTAGGTATTAAAAGTCAAACTGATGAGAATTATTTTCATTAAAGCCTTCCTTCTCACACCATCCTGGTTTGAAGAATGACTGTGCTATTTTATCCCTTAATTGCAGTTTTGGGGCATTGTTTTTGCAGCACCTAGGTGCTAGAAACTTGGTCTGAGCTGTGCAAGACCTTTGAGAAGGTCTTAAGTACCAAGAACTCCCTCTTGCAGTTCACTGTTCTAGCATGCAAAGCACTGCAGATGGGCCCCCAAGTGAGGAACGTCTTGAGTAGAGCAGGATCAGTTCCTAGATTAGCCATTATTGCAGCTACCTTAATTTGGCTGTTTATAATGGCTAATCTGATCTTGCTATTTTTCGCTTTCTCAGATGGTTGACCTCCTCTTTTAATTTTCTGTTCCTGGCAAGTAGCTCCCCTGTTTTTAGCAAGTAGCAGGAGTTGGTTTCTGATCACTGGCAAGGCAAGGAGCTAGTCAGAGGAAACTGCTCTGCAGCAAGTAAGGGAAAGGTGGCCAAGTTGATTCATGTGTGAGAAAACAAAACCACTTTTCCCCAGCGCAGCTTCCTGCATTAGAAGCACAGCGGCTCACACAGATGTAGCATCCAAAGGGAACAAAATGTCTCCAGCCCCAGCCTCCAGGCTTTGCTTTCTCACCCCTCACTTCTGTGGGTGTTCCGTGCACCCTGGAGATAACTGCTGCCCCTGGAGCAGGCCCTGTGCTGCTGATGCTCTTCCTGCACTGGGACACACCTCTGCTCCCAGGGCATGGGCAGGAGCGAGGAGGAGGCTCCCGGTACTTACCTGCACTCACTCAGAGGTAGGTCGGGTACCTATAGATGGGAAAGAACAGTGACTTTACAAAGCCCTTGTTTCCCAGAAGCCAGACCTTCCTAAAACCAGAGCCTATTTGTTCACTCACCATCTTCATCTCGTTTTCTCCATGCTGTTTAGTGAAAAAAAAACCAACCAAAACAAAAACAAACAAAAAAAAATCTTGGCAAAAATAACTTCTGGAAGTTCTGATGTGTTTTCTTTCTGAGGGTGAAATACTTTTGTTTTTTCTTTCCGTCTGGCTCAGAGATGAAAAAAGCATTCTTTGATATCTTTTTCAAAATAAACTCAGTGTAACACTCCAAAATGTGCATAGAGATTTTTATTTCATACTAAAACAATAAAAGCAAATCACTAGGCAAATAATGCTCTTTTTACACAAGATCTTGCATGCCATGAGGATTTTCTCACCCAAAGGGCTGCCCAGAGGCATGTCAGTGTTGCCAGCCTGATTTTGTGACTGAAGGAAAAAGAAGATTTTCAAGAATATGATTCATTTGGATGTCTCAGTTTGGGAGATTTTGTTTTCATATGTTGGGGAGGTGATTTTTACCGATTTTCCTTTTTTTTTTTTTCCCAGCAGAACCAGTATTGGCATAAAGAAAATTAGTTTTCATACACCTCAGTGAATGGAGTGGGCTTTTCAATGCTCAATTAAACAGAATAGTGTCTCTCCCACATTACTGTGGGGGGGTGGCCATTTCTGCTGCTGTTTTGGAGAGTAGAGTTCAGTGTGATTACAGGACAGCAATATCAGCCCAGTAAAGAGCAATGTCTTGTGTGGGTTAGAGTTAACAGATGACACTAAATTACCAAGAGACCCCTTGATCGGAAGGAAGGAGGTTCAAGCATTGCTGAGACTACTGACTCCCCTGCAGCCCAGCTTCAATAAATCTTCCAAAAACTGAACCAAGGTCTACTTTAAAAATTAGATTCCCCTTTAATCATTTTGGCTGATCCTCCAAAACTTTATTACGAACCTTCTTTTAATAACCAGCATGAAAGTAATTATGGCCTGTTTAGATACATTTGTTCTCATTCCAAGTGCTGTCCTTTAGCTTAAATAGCATCTCTTCTGGGACCATCAAGCAATTGTGGTGGTCAGTGCAGCCATTCATCTTGAGACAGTAAGGAATGGTTGGGAACAAACACATCCCTCTAACAAGCTGGGGAGCCCTGACAGCACAGCCTGGCTCTGGTCCCACTGTCCAGCCCCACAAGGGATTATCTGAGGACATGCTGGGCTTCTTTGAAGGGTGGAAGTTTCCATACTCTTCTCTTCTTAGTACTGCTGGAGGACAGGGAGCAACAAAATGTGTATAGAGGATGGTTTGCTGCTGAATTAGAGTAGATTACAAGAGCTTGGCTTTTTGTAAGGTAATGCCATGTTTTATAATAGGTTTGAAAAACTAGTTGGTAGGTCTGAGCTTAAGCACATTTATTCTGGCTTTACACCGGAGCAGAATCTAAATGCAGATCAGACTTAGACCCTTGCTCTTCAGGAGATTAAAATCTCCGATTCAGAGATAAGCATGTCAATTCCACTTTTTCTGATCTGTCTGTCTTGCCAAGGCGCAAATCCGTGGATCAGGCATCATTGTGGTTCCACGCTCTGAGAGCTGCTTCCAAACTCCCCGCGTTTGCAGTCATGCTCCTGCCAGCCTTGCCAGAGGTCCTGCTGATGGAAACTGCGAGTCTGAAATGTGATTTTGGAAGACGCTTGTTCGGGAATCCCTCTCATTCAGAAGTCTGGGCATACTGCAAAGATGACATTTCCTTAATTCCATCTCTATTACCAGCACTCATGTAAAACAGATGAGTTATTTTTCTGAATGGCAACAATGTACTTTTGTCCACTTTTTTTTCTATGTCAGAATAAAAGCCTGGAAATGGAAATACTAAAACCTATCCTTTGGCACTGCAGTATTGCACTGTATCAGGCAAATAGTGGTCCTGGATTAATGCCTGTGAGAACAGTGTGAACTGATATTTGAACAGCACACAGCTTAGTGCTACCTGCTTGTGGAAGCGAACTTCAGCGCAGGTACAGTCTTGTCACTGCTCTATCTTCTAATGGACAGGGGCAACCTTGCAGGCAGGCCTGCAGTGTTTCAAAGATAAGAGAGAAAAGATGAGACAGAAAGAGAGAAGAGTTGAGGACAGAAAGAGAACAAAAGTAACAAAAGAAAGAGAAAGGGACAGATAGGGAGGAGAGAAATAGATGAAGAATGACTGAGGAGGAAAATGAACCCTGATGTTCTCATTGTGGTTTCTAGTAAGATCAACCACAGAGGAGCTCTCTTCTCAGAAACAGCATAACAGGGCTCTGTCGTGGTTCTCATAATTCCTGTTCTC